ATTTATTGAATCTGTCTATAGTGCTAACTATTCGTTGTTGCTTTCTTAGATGGATTCTATTGCTTTGAGGGCAGAATTGGGACTGCTTCAATCCGATGGCAATCCGTGTTGCTCCGCAGACAAAATGGATACCACTTTACCAAAAAGCTCAAATTCTTCGTGTGCTTTGTTCGAAGAAAGTAGCTTTTTGAGTTTGAGTGCAAGCGAAGCTCAGCTGCAGTTGCAAGAAGAAGAGGTTTGCAGAAGTTTCTTTATATTTATTTTATTTTTGAAGAACGTGAAGGTTTTTAAAAATTTTTTCAGGTAGAGTAGGAGAATACTTTTTCGTGAAGTGCAGGGATTTTTTGCTTGCCTAAAATGTCTATTAAGGATTCACATCTTTTTTTTCTTATTTTAGTGTTTAGCAGTGCTGCTTTCTTTATGGTTCAGTCTATTTTTAGGCTATTGCTGAAGACCCGACACGCGAAGTGCACAATATCAACGTACCAGTTGATAAAATCAAAATTCAGGGCTCTCATACTTTTTCATCATTGCTAGCACATGTTCCAGATTTTTTAGTTGGACGAACGGCGGAGGATATCAATCCAATAGACATTTTTTGCATATTACTGCACCTGTGTAATGAGAATGTTAGTGCTTGTTTCTTTCATGGGGTGTTTGAGTACAGCAGTGCTGACTTTGATTGATGAAAGTTTTCGTGTGGTAACAAGCCCCCTTTTAAGTTTTATTTCAAATAATTATATTGCCAAAAAACGCGAAGGATTTACGAATTGCACTTATTCAAATGGTCTTTAACCTAAATCACTTTTATTTACATTGATACTGAGAATTTTAAAAGTAACTTGTAAGCTGAAGGCTTTTCAAATGTTGCCTATTTTTCGTTAGGGCTCTGAAGTTTTCATCTTATGGGTGGTATTTTATTCATAACTTTCGCAGAGGAAAGAAAATTTTTTTTAGAATCTTGAAGTGGTCCAGCGTCATGATGGAAATGGTATGACTCTCTCCTCAGAACTTGACGATTTTAGAATTGTTAGCTCTTTCGGAGACAGAGACAATCGAAAACAACAGTGATTTGGCTAACGTGATTAGCTTCCTGTTTACTGTACATTTTTTGCTTACATTTAGTCGACGAGAAGCCGACGTTAGTGCCTTTTTTTTCTGCTGGAATTTCTTTGGCATGTTGGTAACTTTGAGGCAGAGATGGCAAACTGTGTTGTTAAGTTTCCGTTGTTTGAAAAGGGCTTTTAACATTTAATTCATGACAAAAGTCTGGCTCATTTGCCTATATTTTAAATTTTACGGTCGTAAGTCTGCACACAAGGTTATCAGCCCTCTGGTATGACTTAAACTTTATTTGAACTTGCACAATCGTTTCCGAACTAATTGAAACATTCACTTATTTTCATATACGTAACAAGCACACTGACGTGCATTTACGGGTATTGCTTTGATCTTTACAATGTTTTTTACCTCCTGTGGTTCTCCTTTTAAAAATAATCTCTTTATTGATAGTTTTCATGGATTGTTTCTTTTTCTGCCAGGCTTTAAATTTACCACTCATTTTCACTGACTAATCAGTAAAAGTGCTTCTGCTCCAAGTTAGAGGAGAGCCCAGAAGCTGCTTTCTATAGGCTTTTGATCCTAACAGTGCGTTAAGTGAACCAGCAGATTGACAGTTTGATAAGAAGTTTGCATTTTTGATCTCAGGAATTTTTCATAGCTTGGTTTTTTAGTTTCGCGAATGCGCTGGTCTTCGAAAGCAGTCAGTTACCAGAGTTCTTCTATTCCGCTTTGTTTTTTTTTTTGTTTTTTCTTTTTGCTGCTTAAGATTTGGAAAGTTCCTTAACTGTTAAAAGGATTCACAATCGTTTGTTGTTCAGAAATGAAACTGTCTTCATCGTTTACGTCTTAGTGAGTTCATTATAGTTTATTAGGTTTTAGTCTACATCTGCCACAGTACTTGTCTATTTTAATAGTTGTTGACGATGAAGGCTGACATTGTATGTAGACCTTTTTGTATCATTGACAAAATGCGGTGTTGTTTGTTTCCTTTGCGGACTTGGAGTTGCTAGCAGCATCTTTTGCATAAACTGGTTTATTGTAGATAATGGTTGTTTGGAATTAGTATCTTTAATACTTGGGTTTTCGTTGTTTTGCTACCTGTTACAGGACTGATGCAAGCGCTCCTGATGGCGAATTAAAAAAAATAAATAAACTTGGGGGTATAAGTTGTCAGGTTTATGCGAGCGAGGAAGCGATGAATTTGAGAAAAAAGTGTTAATTTAAAGTGAGAGTGGTCTGTATGTAGGGGGTGTGTAATAGGGGAGCCAGGGTGCGAGGGGTGAAGGAGGTTATTAATTGACGGGAAAAGCGAAAGAATTGAGTGGATTGATTATGCGAAATTTGCTGGACAAAGAACAACAACTGAACGGGCCGTTGATGTTGTTGTTGTTGTTGTTGTTGGGCGACGGAGTGTGGAAGAGAAGCAAGGGGGACTGCGCTGGGGCAGGCCGCGGCTAATGCACACACTCTCGGCGGTGCCTAGATCGTTGCTTCTCAAGCTTTTTTCGGCAACTGCTGGTTTTTGCTGGGCTATAGCCTAGACTTGCTCATCCATCTGTTGTTGCTGCAATAGTAGCTCATTTTTCTTTTAGACAGTTACGGTTCATTCTAGGACATCGGGTAGGATTTCAGTGAACTAATCCAGTGACTTCTGTCTTAATACACATACACGCACACAAACACACACACACACACACACTTGTTGCTTAGTAGGTTGTGCTTACACTTCAAAAATAATATTGTTCGTTTTGTTTTTGTAACCCCGGTAACGCCGCTGTGTATTGTATTTTTTTTTTTGCTGGTCAGATAATGGAAGACTTTTGCTCCTGTCCACTCAAACAACTGGCTGCACAAAGGTTGTTAGTTGTTTTCCTCAATCTTTTGTGTGACTTACGTTCTAGCTGAAATCCTCGTTTCCCATATATTTCTTTGTTTGAGTAACAAACAGTGAACAAAAATAGATTCTGGCGAAAGAAGGAATCCAAATTTTTTTGGTTTATGTTGAAAAACTCAAAAAAAAAAAGTATAGATTGCTAGGAAATGGATTGTGTCCCATTATATTTTTAGCAAATATTTATAAGGAGGGCTGTTATATATTTTAATTGCTTATTGGTCACCGCGCTTAACACTGCCGCAAGTCCACCCTCCTAATAGCCAATGAACAAGGTGTATACATGTTTAGAAACCCTTGAAATATCAATTTGGTTAACCCTAAGCTGTCATTGGTTTTTATCGTTGCTGGTGCTACATTTATTACAGAAACAGATCAATGTTATTGCATCATTCAGTAGAAAGGAAAAGGGACAGAATATTAGCAATTTATTGGAAATAAATAAATAAAGAAGCTAGAACTAGGAAAGAGTTAGAAATTGTAAAGACAAGTTGAAAATTCTTACAGATGGAGGGGTTGTATCTTATTTCTTTTTTTTTTTTAGTTCTGCGAAGTTTTTTGTTACATTTGTTTCAGAGCGGTGGGCGTTTTTTCGGTAGTGACAAAAAGTTTTTTCTTTTAATTTTTAACGGGAGTGTGTTGTGTGCGTACTCAACAACTATAAAAGTTCCGAAGATTCTCGTATTAAGCGCTGGTGTGTACACACTGATGGAAATCCCCGAAAAAAAAAAGTAGAAAAAAATTGAAAGTTGTTTAATTTTCCGGTTCAAAACAAAAGAAGAAGTTATAAATAATTATAACTACAAACGACCAGGGCAGTGACAACCAAACTAATTATAAGGTTTTTTTCCAGAATTCTGTTACGCTGTCACGTTTCAGCGTTTCACCTAAACGATCCTCTCATCTTGTCAATACAGTTCTGGCAAAAGAATAAAATTAGTAGAACGGAGCCTTTGGTTGATCGTCGATCACTTTCTGCTCTTATATTTGTGTAGAGGTGAAGCAACATTAGTTTTTCAAAAGCCAGGTTTTTTTTTTGTTGCTTTAAATTATTAACTTTACAAATTCCGGAACCTCTTTCCAGCCGGTTGTTTGTTCTTTTTCTTCTAGCATCTGCTTTTATTCATCAAAATAAAAAAGTTTTAAAATTCTTTCCTTCTTTTTTGGGCTTAGAGCATTGACCGTTGGATAAAAGCAGAAATTGCTAATTCTAATAACATATAATAAAGAAAGAGTTTAATCTGTACAGAGTAAATATTGTGCTTACGTAATTGTTGAAATTGTCGCTCGTCAGCTTGGAGGGCTCCAGAATAACACCGCTAAGCTGTAGTCAAAAGTAGCAATATAGTGGTGTGTACAGAATCGGGCAATTTAAATAAAATGAATAAATATCCCATTGGTTTCTATCCCAGCACTGGACGTCAGGTCCACCCATTCTTTTTTATTCAACTTCGAACGCATAACCAAAAGTTGCCTGCGAGTTCGCTTTGGTTTCTATTCTCTTTTTAACATAACGACTTTTTTTTTTTT